TTGAATAAACCAGATGTTTCGAAAATTTTTTTGATGCAATTCTATTCGAATCAATTTCAAACAATGCTTTAAAATCTTTTTCAAGTTTGGTTCTCTTTCAATTTTTTTACTTTTCTTAGATTGATATGGAACCTTGCAAACTTTGAAATGCTCTCTTAGACTCGAGATTTTCATTTTCATTTTTCTTCTTTAAAAAACCGATGATCTTAGCAAGAATAAAGTCTCTATCCACAAACCTTGAACAAAACAAGTTTTTGCAGATATCAGAAAATATTCTACAATTCAAAGACTTTTTTCAAAATTCAATTTTTGTTTAGTTTAATTGCATAAAGATGTCGTTTACAGCCGGAAAATAACAGAGATTGGAGCATGCTTTGGGGAAAACATGTGAGATAGGGACCAGTTTTGAGTTTATGTAAGTGCTATCAATTGTTCGAGATAGGAACCAGTTTGAGTTTATGTAAGGGGACCTGCTGTCGTGACCTTGCGATCTCTAATGTCCGATGGGATCTGAAATAAAAGAGTGCAGTAAGATTTCGATTTGATGCCTAACAGTTTGTCTACAATACAACTTATCAACAACCTTTTTGATCTTATACAGTTACGACTTTAACATGGCGCAGCCAGCAGAGAAAAAAGGAGGGGGAAAAATCCACTAAATATAATAGCATTTTGGGATACACGAACACCGGAACCTCCAGTTTACTGGGAGGAGTGGATAATTAAATTTCACTGGGGGATGATAGCAAAATACGACATTGATCCCGATGATTTCTATTTTGCGAGTACTCTAAATGCGGCGGCTATCACAGCGTTGCCTGAGGAGGTCAATGGGAAAAACCGTCTCGATTCGGAAAAGAAGTTAAAGTCTAATCTATATCTTTGTATTGGAGACGAGGCGCAACGGAAATTCAAATCACGAAAACCGGCGGTTAATATTAAAACGGTACGGTACCCACGGGTCCTTGATGAGATGCAAAATGTTTTTCAACGTGAGCGGAATGTAACTCATGAACGGGGACTTTTCTACGGACGAAAACAACGTGAGAATGAAACGTTCGAAAAATTCCACGCGGAAATAAGCGCCCTAGCAGGTAGATGTGATTTTGCAAATGCGGCCGAAAATGTTCGTGATATTTTCATTATGAATATGCGGGAATCGGATTGCCAGCGAGAATTATCACGATCAACAAAGTTACCTGAGGAAGTCTTACGGATCGTCTTATCATATGAACGTGGTGAGCGCGCATACAAATCATATACGGGAAAACCAGCTTCAACAGCTCCGGCGATTTCAATAAAACAGGAACCGGTAAATAACATAAGAAGGGGACAAAGATTTTTCCGAGGTCGAGGACGCGGGGGACGTGAAGGATACACCCAAGGACCAAGTAGTGGGGGAAGCGGCAATAACCGTAGGTGTTATAATTGCGACGCACCAAATTTTACCCTTGACCACATCGCAAGCTGTCCTGCAAAGGGAGCAACATGCAACTCGTGCCAAAAAACTGGGACATTTTGAGAGAACATGTCGAGGAGTTAGGAGGGGTACTAACCAATGGAGAGGACGAGGACGAGTCGGCTTAGTTAGAGATGAAAAAGAGCATCATCAGAGTACGCAGAATGTGAATGACTTGAATGAAGATCCAGTGTCGTGGGTGAATCAGCAGGGAAGCGGGGAAAATGAATCCATGACGTCAGGATCGGACAATTACATGGTAATGTCAATAAAAAGGAAGAAGAATGAGACTGAACTGAAGATCCCTGGGGCCCGAGTCCAGGTTGAGGTGTCAGGAAAAAAGATGTGGTTGTGGATAGATAGTGGATCCCCAGTGACAATTTTCAGCATAACGGACCTAAAAACAGCGTTAGGTAAGGCGAATATTCAACTACAGCCTTCAAAAGATGAATTCTTGGATTAAAATAACAACCTAATAATTATACTGGGAAAGGTAGCAGTGATGATGTCGTTAAACGGTTGGGCAGCACCAGCACAAGTGTCAGTAATATCCGGAAATCATCAGCCAATCCTGGGGCGCGATCTCATGGGCACCCTGGGCCTCGAGTTAGTGCAACGGAAGAAAATAATGGGGATCACAGGGGAAGGGAGCAGTCAACAGGAGGAGGAATATGACGGATTGCAAACATACTTCAGTAAGTTGTACCCTAATTTATTTACTAGAATAGGGAAGATCCGGAACGCGAAAGTAAGAGCTGAATTTTTGGAAAATTTGAGGCCATACAACAAAAAGGGCGCAGGGTGCCTATCAGTCTACAAGACAAGGTGGATAAAGAAATTCATCGGCTGATAAACGAAGGGCATATCGTAAAATATCAAGAGTGCTCAGATAAGTATTTCGTCTCCCCTATCGTGATTACAGTAAAAAAAGACGAAAGTATCAAATTAGCGCTGGAATCAAGAGAATTGAACAAGCAGGTACACAAGAATAAGTACCAAATGCCAAATATTGACGAACTAGTAGACGGAGTAAGTCAGATTATCGCGGAAAGAAAAGCGGGGAATGTATATTTTACAACGTTGGATTTCACATATGCGTACGGACAAGTCGCATTAGAACAAAAAACAAGCGAGCAAGGCAATTTTCCACTAGTCGGCGGGAAATCCACGGGAACCTATTGTTTTAAAACGGATTTTAAGGGCTTACGTCAATGCCGGCGGAATTCCAAAAAGTAATTGATAATTTACTTAAGGAATTCCCTCAAGCTAACGCGTTCATAGATGATGTTTTAGTTGCTTCAAAACGAACTAAGATCAAACACATTGCGTTGGTGGAAAAGATATTGAAAAAGCTGGACGTCTCCAATGTTGCGTTAAAATTACGAAAATGTGAATTTGCAAAAACAGAGTGCGAATGGCTCGGATATCGGATTGGGGAAAATAGCATCACGCCCCTAGTAAGAAAAACACAAGCAATAGAGGACCTGAAATCCCTAAAATATCGAAAACAGCTGAAGTCTTTAATGGGTTCACTGCACAGTTTACACAAATTTTTACCCAAACTCGCGGAAATAAGCGCACCTTTTAGACCATTACTGAGTCAAAATAACGATTTTGTCTGGACGGCCGTTTGCGAAAATGCGTTCCAACAATTAAAATCGCTCGTGGAAAATATTGTCGAATTACGGCATTTCGACATTCACCGTGAAACTAGAATTATTTGTGACGCTAGTCACGATGGCTTAGGGGCCGTGTTAGAACAGTATTGCGCATCCGGTTGGCATCCGATTTCGTTTGCATCCCGTTACCTTAATCCGGCTGAGAAAAAGTACTCTACGAATGAATTAGAGTTACTCGCGGTAGTGTGGGCCACGGAACATTTTCAAAACTATATATATGGCCGGTATTTCACAGTCATAATGGATCATAAAGCGCTACTTACATTGTTGAATTCGTCACCGAAGGGAAATAAAACGTTCTTCAGCCGATTAACTCGATGGTATGATCGACTGGTGCCATATGACTTTAAAGTTGAACATAGACAAGGGTCGAAAATGGGGATGGCAGACTATTTGTCTCGGTTTCCGTCCGCAGAGGCACCCGAGACAAGTCATTATGATGAAAATTTCACAGTAGCGAAGATAAGAATGATAAACGCGGCATTGAAGCCCAAGGATAAAATGAAGCCTAGGGGTCAGAAAGTGAATCAAATTAGGCCAAAACCGACGGTAGGGGGCGAGCAGTCATGTTTCGACACAACGAATTCATTTTCATCCAATGAGAATGAAAGAAAAGATGAATATGCAAATATTCACCGTGAGCACGAACGCTCAATAGAGGGCGTGTTTACATGCAACCGGCGGTTAACCAATCAGCGTCGAGATATTTGCATACCGGCGGAAATACCGAAGAAAGAAATTCAGACGTTGTTCTCATTGCTTAAATTACAGTTGTAAGCCTTCCATCTTAAATAATTACAGTGACACTTCTTTTTTTTTTTAAATTACATTAGCAAGCCCTTAATTCTGAATAATTTGAGTAACTTAAACGATAAAAACATGAGTATTTTGCCTGAAAAAAATGATCCACCAACTTCGGCCATCGTCAACACATCGACTAACTCTGGAAATGTGAACCTCAACGTTGTACTGAACCGGTTAAATCAACCTCCCAGTGTTAGTTCGGATTGAGATATTGAAATGATACCACCCGAGAAACTTGATAAAAAACAGACTAGTTTTAAAAAATTAAACACGATCATCCCTTTTCCACACCAGTTCCCCGGTTTATCCTACCCACTTGTACAGAACGACAAATGGATCTATTCTATAGTGCCATCAGACAGTAAAATAGTGAAAAGATTGAACACCCGGAAGTTCTGAGTTTAAAATTGATAGAAGCAAACATTGAAAAAGATCCATTTATGAAGACCATCAGGGATAACATCAGAGACAAAAACCCACGAGCAAAGGAGATAATTACAAGACTAGGACAATACTACGCTCAACACTACAACTATTTTGCAGTACGTGAGAATTGCCTCTGGATGGACGGCTGGTTAGCAATACCGAAGGATCTGTCATCAGCAATCCTCAATCGTCTACACTATAACCCTCATGGGCGTGACAAAATATTTGCAGCCGCAAAAGACGTGTTGATTCCTCTTATGCATCGGAACATCGCTGCTACAGCAAAATACTGCAAAAGTTGCTTAGAAGCAGGTAAAAACCTTAAACCGGACATTCCAAAAAGTGACATGGGGAAACTTATGTGTCTAAGGAACCGAATGATTTAGTCCAATTAGATTTCTGGGGCCCAGTCAATTACATAAGGGGTCGCAAGAAGTACGTACTTGTAGCAGTAGATACTTTCTCGCATTGGCCGTCGGCGTATGTCTGTTCAAGTAACAAGTCTAAAAATGTATTGAAGTTCCTAAGGAAGTACATAAATACTCATGGACACCCAAGGAAATTGCATATGGATCAGGCTACTGGGTTTTTCTCAAATGAAATTCAAAACTTCAGTAACTACGAAGGTATCGAACTTATTAAATCTCCGGTTAGGCATCATCGCGCGACAGGAATGGTCGAACGAACAACTGGGTCGATAAAAAACTACGTGTTAACTTATCTTCAGGAAGATAAGAACTATAAGTTTGGAGCAATGATATCCCGTGCGCTCAGCGCGTTTCGTTTCGCACCACACTATAAGACTAAATTAACGCCTTTTGAAGCCTATCATGGACGAGAAGCAAATACGGCTCTGCGAAATTTAACGAAAAAACCGTCTTTGAAAAATTTAAATTGGAACAATATTGTTAACCAAAAGTTATCTTGTTTAGATAAGGCGGGAAATCTCCCGGATGTAGAGCTCACCCTAGATTGGGAGAAGAGAAGCAATTTGGTGTACGCTCCACAAAATAGGAAAGCTCCAATCATTTTGGATAACGAGGTGGTAGCGGATCCCAAGGCTCAGGAAGTAGTTGACCCCAAGGAAATAAGATCTGTACCTAAAGCTCCAACATGGCTCAAAAAGCACAAGACCAGCTCAACGACCGTTTACCAAAGGAATGGAAAAACGGATCCAAAGGACCCAAGAAGGTATAAACGTTTGCCATTAAAAATTGAAAAATTGACTAAGCATACGGTGCAGATGGAAAAAGGGTCGTTACTAAGGCGGAGTGGTGTTTCTTTTAGATCGGCGGCCGAAGAAAGCTTAATTGAGAATAGAAGCGATGCGTGCATCCCAGGACCTAGTAAAACAGTACATAGTACCCCGGGCCCAAGTGAACCCACAAAGTGTAAGCGAAGAGCCGAGAAGGATCGGGTCGAGATGGAGAACGCGCGAAGATCGACGAAACAACGTATATTAGAGTACAGTGCGGACGAGAGCGAGGACGACGAAGATAGCGAGTGGGAAATCGAACGAAACGAACCGGTGAAGATTCCGGCGAGCGAAGGAGACGATGTACCGTCAGGAACGGCTAGGGAGATATCACCAAGAACCGTCGGTGGAAAACAAAAAAAAGGCGAGTGCGAGGCAGCGACGAGAAAATCAACACGACAGAGACGCGGAATTGCAAAATGGGGGGGGGAGTTATGATCCACCGAATAGAGCACAAGTGAAGACAACAGAAAAAAAAACCTTAAGAGAGGTTTGGCAGGTGTGCCTGAAAACTCAATGTAAACTAAAACTTAACTAGTAACATGATCCAATAGCAAAAGTAACAGTGAGTTGATAAATTTTATATCTACGCTCTAAAATTTATTTGTGGTTGCCCGAGTGAGATAGGGACCAGTTTTGAGTTTATGTAAGTGCTATCAATTGTTCGAGATAGGAACCAGTTTGAGTTTATGTAAGTGCTATCAACTTGTTCTTTCTGTCTGGGGACCTGCTGTTGTGACCTTGCGATCTCTAATGTCCGATGGGATCTGAAATAAAAGAGTGCAGTAAGATTTCGATTTGATGCCTAACAGTTTGTCTACAATACAACTTATCAACAACCTTTTTGATCTTATACACTTACGACTTTAACACATGCTCCAGTTTATTATTTCTGAATTTTTTTCCTGTTTTTGAACACGATGCTTTCGGTCTTAGATGGGAGAGTTTATGATGCTGCTGAGATGTCTTTTTTACTATTTGAACAGCGTATTCAATATTTACATTTTTCCAAAAAAACGTTCAGTCAATAGCTAAACATGATTCCAATTTTTTGACGAGCCTGGATGTTTTGCTTATATTTTGGGTATCTTTCATTTGATTTCTATGATGCTGCAGGATTTGGCATTTTTTTGTTAGTAACTCAAGTTGCAATGTTTTTCATTTCCATGTGTATAACCGAGTTAAACCGACTGTTACGAAATTTCCATGTGTATAACCGAGTTAAACCGACTGTTACGAACTACCAGAAGCCTGTGCCCTATTGGCGCATGATTTTGACCCGCTGTATCGATTTAGTGATTCTGCTAAGTTTTGCTTCAACGCTAATCAAAACGATAAATAAATAAAGTCGGCAACACCATCCAAATGGGAAATAAGAAAACTGGCAGTGTAGAAATCACAGTACAGATGATAGAGATGATTTAAGCCAAGCATACAAAAATCAGGACCTGTTGGACCCTCGACAAAAAAAACTGTTCCCAGAAGTGCAAATTTCCATGTTTGAGAGCAGTAACTAGCGGTGGAAGTAGGATCAAAAATTGAATACTTTTTAAGCCTCCTAATTGAAAGAGGCTTAAGTTCAGAACTCCTGGATCCCCTGAACACCGATTGTAAGCCGATTATTGTACTAGGATCTATCGGCTTAAAAACACTCAAAAAAATGTTAAGGTAAAATTACCCTAAATGAGTTAAGGTAAAAAAAAATTAAGGTAAAATTTACCCTAACATTACCTTAACTTTACCTTAAAATATTGTTAGGGTAAAATTTACCTTAACTGAATTAAGGTAATTTACCTTAACTTAACCTTAATTTTACTAAAAATATTTAGGAATGCATTTAACTAAACAGGAATAAGGTTATTTGAGATAAACATTGGATCTCGTAGCCCACCTATCAAATTTTCAGTTCAACCATATAAGTGATAAAGATTTTTCTAAGTATATTTGTATGTATGTATTTTTGTATGTATGTTTGTATGTATGTATGTATGTATGTATGTATGTATGTATGTATGTATGTATGTATGTATGTATGTATGTATGTATGTATGTATGTATGTATGTATGTATGTATGTATGTATGTATGTATGTATGTATGTATGTATGTATGTATGTATGTATGTATGTATGTATGTATGTATGTATGTATGTATGTATGTATGTATGTATGTATGTATGTATGTATGTATGTATGTATGTATGTATGTATGTATGTATGTATGTATGTATGTATGTATGTATGTATGTATGTATGTATGTATGTATGTATGTATGTATGTATGTATGTATGTATGTATGTATGTATGTATGTATGTATGTATGTATGTATGTATGTATGTATGTATGTATGTATGTATGTATGTATGTATGTATGTATGTATGTATGTATGTATGTATGTATGTATGTATGTATGTATGCTGTTCGAAATTTGCTCTCGGTTATTTCTTAATTTCAAGCAACTTTGACGTGTGCAAGAAGGTTAAACTTAGGTGCGCACTTTTTGTGTTTGCCTACCCCAACAAAATTGAAATTTTTTTTTTACAAAATTCTTTCAGGGATGAAATTATAAAGAAAAAAAATATCGCCACTGGTTGATACGTATTCAGTACTGTTATAGAAGTGTGTTAACAGCAATATTTCTGGATGAAACAATTCATAAGGTCAATTTGAGGGCCTGATTTAGCATGAAATATTGCTTCAAAAAATGTTCTGCCTTTCATATCAAAAAAACTCAATCGTTGGAACTTCAAATTTTAACCGGATATTTCTTGTTTTCATGCAACCTTGATGTGTGCAAGAAAGTTAAATTTCCTAAACTACTTGACAAACGGCCAAATTTGAAAATTATCAAAATAAAAAAAAATCGAAATTACAGAGCTAGTTTTGCTTTGTTGAGAAACATTTATAGTGCGTTTGTCTGTCGATATAGTTTTCTAGTGAGCAATTTTTTTTTCACGGTCTGGTGCGTTCCAATTAATTTTCGTTTTTTAGCAATTTCCAATTAATGGTTTTTTAAAAGTTTTGAGCTATTGTAGTAATGAATAAAAAAAATAGATCGTTTTTGAACACTCTGTTTGTGATATGTGTATATTAGATAAACAACAATGCGGTTTGAACAGCTGATCGAATTCTGCTCTCAATTATTTCTTGTTTTTATGCAACTTTGATGTGTACAAGAAGGTTAATTTTCCTAAACTAATTAAGAAATGGCCAAATTTGAAAACTATCAAAATAAAAAAATCGAAATTTAAAAAACAAACAGTCAAATTGACATGCCGTTTTAGGTGCGCACTTTTTGCGTTTGTCTACCCCAAAAAAAATTGATTTTTTTTACAAAATTTTTTCAGGGATGAAAATATCTAGAAAAAATATCGCAACTGGTTGATACGTATTCAGTTCTGTTATAGAAGTGTGTTAACAGCAATATTTTTGGATGAAACAATTCATAATGTCAGTTTGAGGGCCTGATTTAGCATGAAATATCGCTTCAAAAAATGTTCTGCCTTTCATATTAAAAAAACTCAATCGTTAGAATTTCAAAAGGGCTACTTTTGATATCTAGTACGTTGCTAATCTCAGCGTGGTTGCGAAGATTTTAATTGAAAAAAAACTGTCGCAGGTTTTGTATCATAGAGTTAAGAAAACAATTTTCAAATTTTTTTTTTGCCATTGACAGAAAATTATTAGAGCTAGATTTGGGTATATAATACACTCCTATTCCGAAGGAAATGTGACGATATGGTTTTTTTAAGTAAAAAATTACTTCTTTTCGGGCTTCCGGCTTGCTCCAAAAATTGGCTTCAATTTTATCATTTTGAAGCTGTTGGCTTCCGAAAATTGGCTTCAATTTTACTCTGATGACTTTTAATGTCTGTTGATAGATGTCGGAGTAGCAGTAGGAGAGCTTAAATTTGATACAAAAAAACGTGTCTAAAATCGAAGTGCTTGGGACGATATACGTTTTTTAAGAAGAAAAAATAATCGGGCTTCCGGCTCGCTCCAAAGATTGGCTTCATCTTTATTTTTACTCTGATGATTTTTGCAATCTGTTGATAGGTATCGGAGTAGCATTAGTAGAGCTTAAGTTTGATATAAAAAACGTTTCTAAATTCGAGGTGCTTGTGACGATAATATTTTTTTTATAAAAAAAAATTCGGGCTTCAGGCTCTCTCCTAAGATTGATTTCAATGTACGTTTTAGGTTAATTTTTTGCTCTTGCCCTGTTATTTGAACGAAACTTGTTTTGCGACTCTCAAGTTGTTGAATTTTTCAGATCTTCAATTGGAGCGATTACAATTCTCAAAACGTCGTGTTAGTTTCGATATAGTTTTCAAGTGTCGATAATTTTCATCGATAAATTCTTCAAATTGTGCCATAATTTTCTTGT